GTTCTAGATTTGTTTGTTTATTTGTTTGTTGTTATTGATTCCTTGAGATTTCTAGGTAGACTGTGATGTCATTTACAAATAGGGAGAGTTTTCATTCTTCCTTTCTGACTACGTGACTTGTATTCTTTCTCTTGCCTTGTGTTGTCCAGAACTTCCAGTACCATGTTGAATAGCAGTGGTGAGAATGGGCATCCTTACTTCATTTCAGATCTTAGGGGAAAGCTTTCAGTCTTTCACTATTAGCTATGATGTTAGCTGTAGGTTTTTGGTGGATTAAAAAAAAATCAAGTTGAAGAACCTTCCCTATATGCTTAGTTTTATGAGTGTTTTTACCATGAATGAGTCTTGAATTTTGTTAAATGCTTTTTCTGTGTCAATTGAAAGGATCATGTGATTTTTCTTCCCTAGCCTGTTAATTTGGTTGATTATACTGATTGGATTTTGAATATCAAACTAGCCTTGTATCTTGTAATAAACACTACTTGGTTGTGTTGTGTAGTTTTTTATGTTGCTGAATTCTATTTGCTAGGATTATGTTAGGGTTGTTTTTTTTTTTTTTTTTGCATCTGTATTCATGAAGGATATTTGTAGTTTTTTCTTTTTATACTGCCTTTTCTTTGATTTTGGTTTAAGGGTAATACTGGCTTCATAGAGTAAGCTGCGAAGTATTCCCTTGTCTTCTCTTTTATGGAAAATATTGTGTAGAATGTTAATTCTTCCTTAATGTTTTGTAGAATTCTCCAGAGAACCTCTCTAAGCCTGGGGATTTTTTTTTTTATCGAGAAGTTTTTAATTACAAATTCATTTCCTTAATAAATATAGGACTATTTAAATTATCTATTTCATATTGAGTTATGGTAGTTTGTATTTTGAGGAATTGATTCATTTCATCTAAGATGTCTAATTTACGTGTGCAGAGTTGTTTGTAGTATTACAGTATTCTTTTGATGTTTGCAGGGTCCTTAGTGATATTCCCCGTTTCATTCCTGATATCAGTAATTCATGTCTTCTCTCTTTTTATCTTTGTCAGTCTTGCTAAGGGTTTGTCAACTTTATTGATCTTATTCAAATACCAGCTTTTTGTTTAATTGATTTTCTCTATTGTTTTTCTGCGTTCAATTTCATTGATTTATGCTTTGATCTTTATTACTTATTTTTTTCTGCTTGCGTTGGACTTGTTTTACTCTTCTTTTTCTAGTTTCTTAAGGTGGGAGCTTATATTGTTGATTTAAGACTTTTTGTATCTTTTATGTGATCATTTAATGTTATAAATTTTCCTCTTGGCATTGCTTGAGCTGTGCACCTCAATTTTTTATATGCTATATTATGATTTTTATTCAGTTTAAAGTATTTCTGTTGAGACTTCCTCTTTCACCCATGGATTTTTTGAAAGCATGATATTTAGTTTCCAAGAGTTTGGAGATTTTCATATCTTTTTGTTATTAGTTTCTAGTTTATTTCTATTGTAGACAGACAACATACTCTGGTTTTAGTTATTTTAAAGTTTTTGTGGTTTGTTTTATAGCCAGGGATATGGTTTGTCTTGGTATATATTCTGTGGGTACTTGAAAAGAGTATGTAGTCTTTTGTTGTTGTGTAGAGTTTTCTATAAATGTCAATTAGATCCTGGTTTTTACTGGTGTTGTTGAGTATCCTTGCTGATTTCTTGTTTAGTTATTCTATCAATTGTTGAGTAATATTGAAATCTCCAACTGTTACCATGGGTTTGTCTCTTTCTGCTTTGAGTTTCATCAGTGTTTGCTTCACATATTTTACAGCTCTGTTGTTTGGTGCATACACATTTAGGATTGCTATGTCTTCCTGGTGAATTGACACTTTGATAATTATATAATGTTCTGCTCTGTCCCTAGTAATATTCTTTTGCTCTGTAGTTAACTTTTATGATATTAATATAATCAATCTTGGTTTCTTTTTATTAATACTCATATGATTTACCTTTTATTTTAACATATATATAATTATATTTGAAGGAATCTTCTTATAGATACCCTATTGTTGGGTCATTATTTAAATCCTCTTTGGCAGTCCCTTTTAATTGTTGATTTAATTGTTGTATTTAGACCACTTACATTGCATGTAATTATTGATGTATTAGGCCTTGTCTGCCATTTTATTTTGTTTTCTGTTTTTTTCTTCTTGGTTTTCCACTCATTTTTTTTCCTATCTTTCCTTTTGGGTTACTTAAACATTTTTTAGACTTCTATGTTTACTTATCTACTGTACTTTTTAGTATATCTGTTTATACAGCTTTTTTAGTGGTTATGCTAGGTATTACATTATAAATACATAACTTACTAAAGTCTATTGGTGTCAGCATTTTACCATTTTGAGTGAAGAGTGGAAACTATTTCCCTATATGCACTTTTACCCTCCTCATTTATAATATAATTTATTATTTTTTTCATATTTGAAGAATAACATTAAACTGTGCTATAATTTTTGATTCAACCATCAAACATAATTTAGAAAACTCAAGAAGAGAAAGTGTATTGTATTTACCCATATTTATGTTTACTGTGTTCTTTCCTGATGTTTCAAGTTCTTTCTTTTATTATTTTCTTTCTGTTTATAGAACTTCCTTTATTCTGTAGCTCTGTTGGCAACAATTTTTTTTAAGTTCCTTTGTCTGACAATAACTTTATTTCTCCTTCATTCCTGAAGAATAACATTAATATATTTAAGATTTGGAGTTGACATTTCTTTTCTTTTGGCACTTAAAAAACATTGTGCCACTTCCTCCTGACCTCCATAATTTCTGATGAGAAAAATCATTGCCATTAGAATTGATTACCTATCACTAACATGTAACAATTTTTACCTTGATATATCTTTATTCAATTCATTACATCTTTGTATACTTTCATATCATGTGTTTTTTAATCTCCTATAAGAACTTGTATAATTTATATCTGTTGATATTTACTATATTGGAAATTAAAACTAAAAACTTTAAAAAAATTTATTAATTTAAGAATAACAAATTCATTATATGTTAACATAACATTTTTAAGAAAAATAAGTGTATTTTCTAAAAAACTTTAGTAAAAGTGGCATTGTTTTACATTTTTGCAAATCTAATGTCTGTTTCAATAGAAAACACTTAGATTCTCATCTCTAATTTTTAAAATAACAGCTTTATTGAGCAGCGATTCACAAACTGTGTCATTCCTCATTTAACGTGTACAATTCAACAATTTTTAGTGTATTCATAGATATGGTCATCTGTTACCACAGTCACCTTTAGAACATTTTCATCACCTCAAAAAGAAACCTTGTACTCCTTGGCTATCCAGCCCACCTCCTCAACTACCAGCCCAAAGCAATCTACTCTGTCTCTATAGATTTGCTTATTCTGGAAATATTGATATAAATGGAATCATATGACATGCGGTCTTTCATGACGGGATACTTTCACTTAACATAATGTTTTTAAGGCTTGTCCATGTTGTAGCATGTACCAGTACTTTATTCCTTTTTATGACCAAATAATATAAGGAGATGAATTGTATGAATATACCAGTTTGTTTATTAATATATGAGTTGATGAATGGAGAGCTTATTCTTATTCTAGCAGGCAGTTAATTTGGTTGGACTCAAACTCCAAACTCTTATGCTAAATAAATGCAAATCCCACCAATTTCCTCCTTTCAAGGATTAATGCCATTCCAGTTTCTGTCTATTTTTGATTACTCTCTAATGCCTTCAAGTAGCTATTTTTATATTTTGCCCAGAGTTTATAATTTTTTCTGTGTGAAGTTAGCCAATAAAATCTACTCCACCGTTAATGGATACAGACCTCACAATGCCTCATATTTAAATTAGTGATGCAGTTTATAGAGTCTTCCGTAGGCTCATCTCCTTCAATCCTAAAAACAAAACAAAACAAAACCCTCTTCTGACTCCAAATAAGTGTCAGGTAAAGAGAGTGCTGCTGGTGTTCTGAAATGGTTCTACCAAAGTCTTATAAGAAGTTGAACTCTTGGAAATGGATATTTTAGAGTTTGAGAGGTTTATTGAGTGAGGTTATTGCTGATGGAATTCAAGTATCCATTCTTTACTTTTATTATGAACATTGTAAGTTTTATCACCCCTGGTGATTTGGGACCAAGCCTGCCCAGAGGCTATAAAATTCAGCCTTGCCCTTTCTGCCTTTCAAAGTAGGCTTTTATCCTGTCCCCTTAGAAAGTCAGAGGAATGAGCATACTGTATTCAAGAGTACCACCATTCTCTCCCCCACCTTGGGACTCAATAACACCAGCAACACTGAAACATCACAATAGGAGCAGCTCTCTGAAGCCTCCCTGTGAAGCTTGGCTTCATTGCCTATCCTGCCAATTCAGAGTTAGTCCTTGAGAACTTTCTGTAGCCTTCTGTTAGTTCCACGAAGGCATAGAAATATATTTTAGGCAGCATCATGGTCCCGTCCTGGAGTGCTGTGCTTAGCACTTGGGGTGCCCAATAAGTGTTTGTGCGATGGCTGTTGAACAGCTGAGTATATAATCTGAGAAGAAATGTTGTGGTTTTGACATTCTGTGTGGGTATTCCGAAGCTATTACCTGCTTGCTTCATTTCACTCATCTATTCATGTACCCCGACTTGAGAGAATAATAGATAATATCTAAGTTTAATTTTTAAAATTGTGAAAACTAAGTCCAAGCCTTAATAAAAGTTTTTGGGGATTAAACACAGTTTCTATGTTGTCTTATTGACCTCTGCCTTAATCATTCTGGGTAAAAGAACCAGGAAACTAAAAAACAGACCCTGTTTTTCTTCTCCATTCATTCATATGTTAAAGGATTATGTGTGTCATAAACAGTTGCATTTATCATAGCACCTAGAAACACCTCATTATGGAGAAGCATCACAGATTGCAGCTGTCACTGGGGATAATATTTGGTGTCAGAGAAAAGCATTTTGAAATAAAAATAAGAAGCATTGATAATGCACCATTTTGATTGCTCTTCTTTGTAAAAATGCAGATTATGTGATTTCTCTGGGGAGACTCGTGGCTTCCCGGTATGCCGAGGGCCTGTTTCCACGGGTCTACAGAGCAGAAGATGGTACAGCATATAATGTAAGTAGGACTTCCCTCGAGGGACAGACTCTGTGACACGCTGCTGAGGTCTGAGAGTGGCCCACGCTGAGAGGCTCACAGGAGCCAAGGCCCTGAAAGTCCCTGCTCAAGAGCTGGGGAGGGAAGCACTTGGCCTGTTAGAGGTAAGTGCAGGAAGCTCTTGACCAGAGCTGAGAACCTTTGCATATCAACACCTTGCTTTGCCTTTAAAATAAAGAAAAAAGGCATTATGACAGAGATTAGCTAAAAGGCAAGAGCTAGTTGCTATTACCTGCCATAGGCACTAGGAGTAGAGGCTGCTTTTGCAGGAAGGAGTGACAGAGAGCAAGTGGAGCCTCTTGCTGGACTCCATTCCCAGCAACAACACATGGTTCGGTTCGTGTGCCCACATTGTGGCCGGCCCTGCACACACCTGGTACATCACAGGGAGCTTGCGAAGACATATAGCCCATCATGGCATTTCACAGTGTATGTACACATGCACCTCCTGGACTGTTATTTCTTCATATTTAAAAAAAATTACTCTTTAGACAGCCTGATCCTAAGCAATAATATCCATGGACTCTTGAGTTTGGTGTGCTAAGTATATTTGTTATCTGAACCACATGGAAATCAATACAGAACTATAGAAAACGTCTGTTCCATCTAACTCCACAGCCCCTGTGACTCGGCCCCATCCTGGTTTCTGCATTGTGGTAGGGATTTGTAGTAAGTCCTGTGAACACTGGTGAGACAGGAATTCTGCCTTAAGGAGCCATAGAAAGCAGATGCTAGAGTTCAAGGAATAAGCTTGAGAGACAAGAGATGGAGAAGGAAAGGAGTTTAAGGCAGAGGGGCCAGCACATGCCAAGGCATGAAAATGTAGAATTTCACGGCATGTTCAGAAAACACATTTTCTTTAACAATTTAGGTATTTTGGGGGTGTTCTGAAGATTGTTAAAAAAAAGTACTAGATCTTTTAAAATTTGATTCTTCACAGAATAGGGTACAATTTTTATTATTCCTTTTTTATATCTCCTACTTC